CCAGCCTTCTCATCATCAGTGCAACAGCTGTATATGCGATTGTTGCAGTCTTAGGTTTCACAAAGACAAGCAGCGTGTGCTCGGTGCACTCACAGTTTTCAAAAAAAAATCATCATTGGGTTCAAAATCTTTGCAAATGTGTGACATGAATGAATCGGATCATGCCCATCATGAATCATCATCATCAACAGCACCATCGTCGCCATCATCATCATCGTCCCCATGCATCGTGTAGGTAGGTAGGTAGGTAGGTAGGTAGGTAGGTTGGTAAGTAAGCAGGAAGGTAGGTGGGTGGGTGGGAAGGCAGGGAGGGGGGGCAGGTAGGGCAGAGGTAGGTAGGTAGGTAGGTAGGGAGGTAGGTAGGCAGGCAGGCAGGCCAAATCGGTAGGTAGATAATAGGTAGGTAGCTAGGTAGGTAGGTAGGTAGGCATATAGGTAGGTAGGTAGGCATATAGGTAGGTAGGTAGGTAGGTAGGTAGGTCAGGTAGGTAGGTAGGTAGGTCGGTCGGTAGGTAGGCAGGTAGGTAGGTAGGTAGGTAGGTTGGTAGGTCGGTACGTCGGTAGGTCGGTATCGGTAGGTGGGTCGGTCGGTCGGTCGTAGCTAGGTAGGAGGTAACCATCATCATCATGCATCATGCATCACCATCATGCATTATCATCATGCGTCATGCGTCATGCATCGCCATGATCATCATTATCTCCATCACCCACCACCACCCACCTCCACCCCTGACATCATCATCATCATAATCATCATCAAGGAAGTGCACTCGCACCCGACTACGAATGCCATGCCTCGCTCTCCTGCGAATCTTTCTCCTTCTGAACACTTTTTTATGATTCAGCTAGAGCATCCTCGACGGAGGAGCCATTACGGATACGCGGCCAACACCCTGGACGACCTTCCGAAAAACATGCCTGCGCAAGCTGAATTCCGAAACAGGCTCCTTTTGGAACTATGTTGGTATTTCTATGCGCAGACGTTGGTCAAAGAGAGCTCCAACAGGAGGCGATCATCTGTACGAAGGTTCATGTACTATGGCCTTACCACTGTCCTGCTCGATAGTCAAAGCGCTGCACACCTGAAAACACAAGCAATTAAACAGCTCAGACTCACAGCACGCAGCCCGCCTCATGTCAACCATGAATCCAACAAGCACTTCTTAGATGAACACCATTTCAGGGACCCCCTGGAAGTGCTACATGACATGACCCGCCGGGTTGATGCAGCTAGACAGCATCTGTCTCACCTTCAGCCGAAGGAGGTGCGGGAGTGATGGAACTCACATGATGAAGCAAGCCACAGTCTGTATGTGGCGTCACGTGTGGTAGCCTGCGTGATGTTCGTACCCACATAGCCTCGACCCGGAAAAGTTATGCTGAGAAGTCCAGTCGTCAAGCCGCTTTCATGCAGCATGCTGAAGATGGCAGGCCAAAGTGCAAACATTGCAGCAAGGCGTTTTCGTCATGGCGAGCTTTCATGGGACCCATGCACCTCCCCCTCCTATGTCCAGCACGGCACAGGCTACCCCTGCTGACGGGGTGTGCGCACCGAGGGGAAGCCTGCCAAAGCCCACCACATCTGAAGATTTTCAAGCAGCTTACTGTACCAGACAGACAAGCTAGCTGCTCTTGTACGCGCAGAAATAAATAATGGTCACTGCCCCCTCTGTCGATATAAATAAATGCACTAATAGCATGTACATAGCAAGACATGCATGCTGACAGCACGCTGATGTCGTTCAGTCAGACACTCGAATTGGGCCCAAAAAAGGTGGGTAATCAGCAAGCCCTGCAACTGGTGTTCACACCAGCGTGCTTGCCCTGTTTTGTGGACGGACGTGTGGTCTTTTGTTAAACCATTTTGCCTCAGACAAGCTCCAGGTCACACCGACTTGAAACATGGCGGACGAGCAGGAGCTACTTCGAGCAGCCCAGGAGCTCTCTCAGTTTGCAAGCCCAAGCCTCCTCTCCGAACTCCCCAAGCCAGCGCGCCGGAAGCCTCTCGGAAATGGACACCTCGGCAAGGGACAAGAAGGCGGAGACGGAAGACAACCACGAGGAACCTCCAGCCAAGTGGCAGAAGGCGACAGGCAAGGGCGCAGGAAGCAAGGAGCCGTGCATGGAGCCGCAGACCGTGGACCGCAACAGACGAAGCCCATGAAGAGGTTTCCAGGCCAACCCAAGGGCCTCCAACAGGCGGGACTGGGGAATACTTCCCGGTACGGAGACTATCCGTGGATGCAGGACAGCGAGTTCGACAGCAAGAAGGAGAAGGAGCTCATGAAAGAGCTTGTTATTATGGTGCTCCGTGATCTTGAAGAGCCGGAGGGCGAGGAGGATACTGCTTCGACGGGACAATGGGCCACTTACTTGACTCAGATCAAGCAGAACTTGATCTTCCCCAAGGTCGTGCTGCGGTTCCATGCGCTTCGCCGCCAAACCTCCAACATGACCTCCGCCATCGTCTCGTTCACCCTCGAGATCCACAACAGGTGTCAGGAGGGCCAAACCGCATACCTGGCTTTGGAAAGGCGTGGCAGCTGATCGGAGGCACACTCCGACCCGCCAAGCTAGGACGTGGCCCGCTGGAGCGTTCAGTGGAGGCTCTGAGCTTTTCCGAGGCCTGCCTACGTCTTAAACCAGGCGACCAAGCCAACTACTGCTACGATAACTTTGTCCTTCACGCATATCTTTGGTCTGCCTTCCAGGCAGAGTTTGATTCCGCACTTCCAGATGCTGGGCTCCGTCTTGCACTTCAAAAGGTATTGACAAGCGCAGGCGCGATAATTCACCTGTGGCTTCTCACAGCATGGCAGCAAGCTGTTCAGCAATGGCCCTCGCAGGGCCAGCAAGATGCAGTTTTTACGCTTCATAGGTCAGAAAGCTTATTCCGCGCAGCGGCAACTGGGAAGCCCGAGTCCCTCCCACATCCCAGGATCTTCCCTTGTGGGGGAATCTTACCCTATAGGGAGTGTATGCATCCTGGGCGTTTGCGACCGTGGTCATCGAACGGTGCAACCTGCAGCAAAAGAAGGGGCGGCATGCCCTCAGCGGCCGCAAGCTTGCCTGTCCGCGCACAGTTTGCTGATGCCGCTGATCAATGAGAGCTTGCAAGGTCAGGTGTCCTGAGGATGCTGCTGCTGCATTGACGCTAGCGGCGAGCGGCAGTGGTATCATTGTGCCGGCATCAACAACCTCAGGCCCTTTGCCATAGTGTATCACCTTGGCCCCACCACAACCAGTGGTTACCGTGCTGCCCTCGTCAACGGCACCGGCGTCCGTTATCTGACTGATGACAACAAGCCAGCACAGCATGTCACGCCTGCTTCACAAGCTATAACTCTGCGTAATTCGTATCTTTTCTTTCTCATCAAAGATGAGGCACAGATTCTGGATGCGTAGCAGTACAGATCCAAGCTTTTACTGTTGGCTGTTTGCTCTTTGATCAGCATTCCAGCTATGACAACTTGTTGTCCAGCAGTCTTACTTTACTCTATTTTATACTGTCTCAATATTGCTCCTCGCTCAACATGGCCCTTACGGGCGGAGGAAGCATTAAGCTGGGGAATGCAGTTCCAGGTTTGGGGGCTACAAGTAGCGTGTCGAAAGACGCCGGCAGCTATGCTGCTGCTCCTGACGCAACGCGGACTCTCTCTGCGGCGAGTGAAGAAGAAAACACCACCACCAACCACCAACCACAAATCACCATCACCATCGCGATCACCACCACCAGCACCAGCATCATTGAAACTACCACCACCATCCTTTTCCGGCTAGGCGTTGGCATTCGCTCATGTGAGCCGACGCAATGCTGTGCCGAGTTTTGGCAATCATGGTTTAATGTGCGAGTCGTGACATGATTTCACAAGACGGGTGGTTACGAGGCCGAGACTTCGAGGTTTGCAGATTAGTCCATGATGGACGGAGTGGTCATGATGACCTCGCCCTGTGCCCTGTTGCCGATGCGTGCGAGACACATAGCGGGCATGCCTGTGCAGTTGAACGGCGTTGATCACGAGGGACTGTATGGACATGTTGCCCAGACACTATTTGTTGGTCATCTGACTACCGTGTCGACATGCTTCACGCAGACCGGGCCGCAATTGCATGTATTTTGCAGGCTATCGAAGTTTGCGAAGTGCCGTGGGCCTTTGTTCGGGCCTTTTTTTGGCTGCGATTTATGTGATTGTGTTATTCGGGAGAGAAGGTCCGGAATCCAGATTTGGCCGTCGCTCGCGGAATTCCACTGCACAGCTCTTACGGGAATATTTGTAGCCAGAAGGTTGAAACGAATGTGACACAAGCTTCAGGCAGTTTGCGGTTACTGCAGCACCATTGGTGCAACTCGGAGCCGTTATGTCCACGGTGGCTTCTCAGTTGTCGCACACCTACGATGGCCGCATTGGGCCCACGTGTCCACACATCATGACTCGCATGAGGCTTCTGCCCGAAGCAGTCATGACGATCACAAGTTTGGCCAGAAACTCGAGCTTTTGCTCTTGCAGGGGCACAAGTAGTTTAAATCATGTACCATGTACGAGGCCGGTGAAGAGGAAGTTCGAGACTTCCTGTTGGCGGCCAATAGACTGTTTCAAGGTGGACATGAACGCTCGCAGGACATGTTTGCAAGCAAACACTGTTAACTCTGCATGTTGACACGTGATTGCTCTTTCAACAGGACTTCAGCACTGCTGCCAACACTCAGGATTCATTTGCTGATGCCAGATTCCACAGTTTGCTTGGGTTTGCACCGCCGACCACATTTGCGTCGCACAGGTCAGCAGCAACGATGTCCCGGTCACTCCCAAGAAAGCACGCTCAGCTGTACGATGCTGAAGCTACGTGTTCATGGGCAGTTTGATTCTGATGCTCCAGTGACACAAACTTGTGCCTGCATGTCCCCAGGTTGCATTGCTCACACCTGGTGCTGACACGGTCGGAGCCTTTTGACAGCTAGGCTGGTGGCTCGCAGCACTGCATCACGTGCCACGGCTCAGATGGTCACCCCACCGCCGAGCCAGCTGACCTTGGCCTTTCGCTGCAAATTTATGTGCTGTGTGGCATCGGAAGACTTCTCAGCAAACCTAGGAAAGACATGGCCGGCACGACGGCAAGCTGTCTTGCAGCCAACAAGGTGTGCTGCGGCTGACTTGCTGCACTGCTTACACCTCTGACTCGCTCCAGGTGTGGCTTCGTCCTTGATTCTGGAAGAGCCGATCAAGGCCGACATGGTATCGAAGTAATTCGGTGGTTCGTTCTGGTCTGGTTCGAAACTTGTTCATACTGCTGGAGCTGCTGGAGGTTTGTCGAAGATGTTTTATGAATGGTTGAGACTTGAGTCTGTTGAATTGTCCACGATTTCTGGATGCCACATAATGGTGTCCCGCCTGATTGGTGCCGTTGCTCATGTCGAGCTTGTTTGGCTAAAGACACCAATGAGAGAACAGGTGGATGCGACCCACGGCCCGATGAGGCCTGTGCATCTTTGGCTCATGCTAGACTGCTAGACCAGAACTCCAAGAATTCACCGGCTCAGGAACGGCAATCAGGACCTGCGTGCAACGGAGACATCTATTGGGGAAGATGAGGCCGTGTTGCTTTCTGCGGCAAGCATGTGCCAAGCATGTGAAACAAGCAGGTCTCGCCCACGGCTACAACCGGCCTGAAAGGGATGGAGGCGGCTGCCGGGGCAGCTGGACTTTCACCACTTGCCGAGACCACTCCGTCCGCAAGTGAGCGCAAGAAACACAACGATGAGAATGCACTGGCAGCGACAGAGAGACTCTGTCTGCAAAGCACAGCCTTTTGGAAGCTTCAGGTTTATGCATGTGCCGGTCGAAGCAAGTCAGGAACGTAGTGAAGAGCCGGAGCGAAACGCCGCCAGCT